TTATAGGGTTAAATCACACGTCTTTATAGGGTTAAATCACACGTCTTTATAGGGTTAAATCACACGTCTTTATAGGGTTAAATAACACGTCTTTATAGGGTTAAATCACACGTCTTTATAGAGTTAAATAACACGTCTTTATAGAGTTAAATCACACGTCTATAAAGGGTTAAATAACACATCTTTATAGAGTTAAATAGCACATCTTTATTGGGTTAAATCACACGTCTTTATAAGGTTAAATCACACGTCTTTATAGAGTTAAATCACGTCTTTATAGAGTTCAATAACACGTCTTTATAGGGTTAAATCACACGTCTTTATAGGGTTAAATCACACGTCTTTATGGAGTTAAATCACGTCTTTATAGAGTTCAATAACACGTCTATATAGGGTTAAATCACACGTCTTTATAGGGTTAAATAACACGTCTTTATAGGGTTAAATCACACGTCTTTATAGAGTTAAATAACACGTCTTTATAAAGTTAAATCACACGTCTATAAAGGGTTAAATAACACATCTTTATAGAGTTAAATAGCACATCTTTATTGGGTTAAATCACACGTCTTTATAGGGTTAAATCACACGTCTTTATAGAGTTAAATCACGTCTTTATAGAGTTCAATAACACGTCTTTATAGGGTTAAATCACACGTCTTTATAGGGTTAAATAACACGTCTTTATAGAGTTAAATCACGTCTTTATAGAGTTCAATAACACGTCTTTATAGGGTTAAATCACACGTCTTTATAGAGTTAAATCACGTCTTTATAGAGTTCAATAACACGTCTTTATAGGGTTAAATAACACGTCTTTATAGGGTTAAATCACACGTCTTTATAGAGTTAAATAACACGTCTTTATAAAGTTAAATCACACGTCTATAAAGGGTTAAATAACACATCTTTATAGGTTAAATCACACGTTTTATAGGGTTAAATCACACGTCTTTATAGAGTTAAATCACGTCTTTATAGAGTTAAATCACACGTCTTTATAGGGTTAAATCACACGTCTTTATAGGGTTAAATAACACGTCTTTATAGAGTTAAAAACACGTCTTTAGGGTTAAATCACACGTCTTTATAGTTAAATCACACTCACACGTCTTTATAGGGTTCACGTCACGTCTTTATAGAGGTTATAAAATCACACGTCTTTATAGAGTTAAATCACGTCTTTATAGGTTAAATAACACGTCTTTATAGGGTTAAATAACACGTCTTTATAGGGTTAAATCACACGTCTTTATAGAGTTAAATAACACGTCTTTATAAAGTTAAATCACACGTCTATAAAGGGTTAAATAACACATCTTTATAGAGTTAAATAGCACATCTTTATTGGGTTAAATCACACGTCTTTATAGGGTTAAATCACACGTCTTTATAGAGTTAAATCACGTCTTTATAGAGTTCAATAACACGTCTATATAGGGTTAAATCACACGTCTTTATAGGGTTAAATAACACGTCTTTATAGGGTTAAATCACACGTCTTTATAGAGTTAAATAACACGTCTTTATAAAGTTAAATCACACGTCTATAAAGGGTTAAATAACACATCTTTATAGAGTTAAATAGCACATCTTTATTGGGTTAAATCACACGTCTTTATAGGGTTAAATCACACGTCTTTATAGAGTTAAATCACGTCTTTATAGAGTTCAATAACACGTCTTTATAGGGTTAAATCACACGTCTTTATAGGGTTAAATCACACGTCTTCATAGGGTTAAATAATCGTCTTGGGATACGATAGCAGAGGTTGGGGTAAGCAATACTGATACAAGGAACCCGGAAACACGGATGAAACAAACCCGGGTCGCTCTCTGGAGATTTCGGCTGCACGCTTCCCTCTGGCGGCGTGAAACTGAGTTAAAACACTGTACAATAACACTGAGAATTTGAAATGACTAAAACAGAGAAATCCGAGGAAGTCTGTCTGTCTGTCTGTCTGTCTGTCAGTCAAAATCTCTTTCTCTCTTCCTATCTGTCAGTCTGTCTTCCTATATGTCTGTCTGTAATTCTGTTTGTCTCTCATTTGTCTGTTTACCTTTCCTCACCAACAACACAGGTGCCAGGTGAAGGTGGAGGAACCCTGTGTCAATGTGCGCGTTGACAAGTGAGGCTTCAGTAAAAGACTCACACACCCAGCTGATTGCAGGACCGAGGCCAAGTCCAGGTAAACACACAACGATAGATCCTCTTTTGTTTATTGTCTTAAAATTCTGTCACTTATTATGTCATGGGATTAGATATCTTTATAAGGGCTTCAGATTTCATATTTTAGATTCGCTCGACGCAGCTCTAGACAAGGAGATACATCCCCTTATTAAAATTGAGGATGATATACCAAGTTTCCTGGTATTAGTAATCTCTAAATATTACAAACTATTGATAATATAGATCCATTTGTGTTATGTGTGTTTGCATGGAGTGGAGGACAGGTCATTACAGTGTCAGGTTATGTAGAGAGGAAAGGTAAGTCTCAGTGTGTGAAATATCCATACATGCGAGTGATTGTCTCTCCTCAACCAAACCCCCTTTGCCCCCTCCACTTCCCCCTCTGGCCCCCTCCTCCACCAGGATCTAGATCATCACGGTCATTTCTGGAGGCCGCCTGTCCCTTAGGGCTGTATATCAAAGCCGTTGGTCTCTTAGGGCAAGCTACTGACAACGTTACAGCAGAGCAAAGACTTGATCTGCCAGACGCTTCCGACCTTCTCCCGCTCCAGCTGCACGGCCATGTAGTAGTCAGGGCAGGAGATCCACTTCTCCCAGGTGTGCGTGTTCATGTCCTTCTCGTCGGGCCAGACCGTGCCCGTGTCCGTGATATACGCCCTTACACACTTGGACATATCCACGTACCAGTTTTTCAGTTGGTGGCAGACGCCCGACTCTGGGACCATCGAGGAGTCCTTTGTATCTGGCTGAAGTATGATAAGAACTTGGTGGTTTGTACAGTTCTCGATGGTAGGATTCATGTCGGAACCCATTGAGATCACAGACGAGATCTTGTCATCCAAATCGAATTTCTCGACTGTGTCCTTGTACTTGCTGCAGATGAAGTATGACAAGCGGGTGTGGGAGTTATCGCCCGGGGTGATGACCACAGTGGTGATGACCCGACCAGATGAACACTTGACTTCCTTATCGATGGTAAAATACTTGAGTTCGATCGTATGTGGTGGGGTGGTAACAGGGGGTAAGGTGATGGTGGTTGTCACTATGGTTGTGGTAGTGGTTGGTAGTGTGATGGTAGTGGTGGTGGTTGCAGGGGTGGTGGTGGTTGCAGCGGTGGTGGTGGTGGTTGCAGGGGTGGTGGTGGTTGCAGGGGTGGTAGGTGTACTGGTCACAGGGATATTTGTAGTTGTGTCAGTGGTTTCAGAGGCTAAGTTAGTTGTTGGGTTGGTTGTGGTAGTGGTTGGGGCAGTGTTGGTGGTTGTTGCTGGTGCTGTGGTGGTGGTAGTAGGTTGGGTGGTTGTGATGGCTGCCGAGACTGTTGTGGTAACTGTAAAAGAAGAAGTTTTCATCCATATTATACATACATAAACGAATACATGTGTGTGTGTGTGTGTGTGTTCTCGTCCAAAAGTTTCAATATACTTGTTTCAATAACCTAGATAAGAATTAAAAAAAGAATAGCAGGCAAACATCACGGATCTTTTAGTGTGGCCAGATAGCAGAATATGAGTTAGTGCTTGAGTGACAATTATTGGGACGCGGGCCACAAGACGTCACCTCGCTCATCAAAAGATATACACGTGACATGGGTCTGACAACAGGTGTGTCCAATGAAAAAGGAAATTGAGAATTTTGAGCACAAATTCTGATTCTGGCAACACTTTCAACCTCAGCTGACTGCCATGTTGACGAATTATGTTTTTATTTATTTATTTATTTTTTAATTTCTAGTTACGTATAAGTTAGTATAGTATAATATAAATAAAATATATAATCAACACTTGGCTGAGACTTAAGTTAGGTTGGTTCCTAATTTCAGCTCCGGATATAAATAAAATAGGAATTGAGATAACAGGAAATTAGTCTTCCATTTATCAGTGAAAATAGATCTTAGTTTTCAGTGGTTCTGGGATATTGGGCTCAAGATGTCAGCGAATTTGGGCCCAAAATGTCAGCAAATTTGGGCTCAAGATGTCAGCCCAGTCATCTACAGTATTGAAATTTCTCTCGGATTCTCAGCTCCAGGTTTAGTGTTTTCCTGCTGAAGACGACGGCCTGTGATAATGGTAGTAGGTGGTGGTTGACGGGTGGTTGGTGGTGATAGGGGGTGGTTGGTGGTGATAGGGGGTGGTTGATGGTGATAGGGGGTGGTTGGTGGCGATAGGGGAGTGGTAGGTGGTGGCAGTCGGGCGGTTGATGGTGATAGGGGGTGGTAGTTGTGGTGGTTGATGGTGGTAGGTGATGGTTGGTGGTTGAGATGTGGTGAAGGTGAGAGGTTTTGATGGTCGTGGTGGTGATAAGGGGTGGTTGGGTTCGGTTAGGTTAGGATTAGGTTAGGTTAGGATTAGGTTAGTTTAGGTTAGGTTAGGATGTGTCATCATTACGTGAAGTAAGATGGTATCTAATATTCAGGTAATCCTTAATTTGGTTCCTTATAAGGAGGTTTCATTCAAGTAATATTCAATAAAAAAAGTAAAATAAACTAATTCACAGTCGTTAGAAAACCAAAGTGTTTATTTGTGAATATAAGACAACCTAGTTTAAGTCGTTTGATGATTAAACTACCTAACCTAACCTAACTTAACCTAAGCTAAGCTAAGCTAACCTAACCTAACCTAACCTAACCTAACCTAACCTAACCTAACCTAACCTAACAAGTAGCATTCGGTTGTTTAACCATCAGGTGAAATGGTAAGGTTGTGGGAGAGAAGGAGGGGGGAGAGGGAGGGGGTGTTGACGATGAGGTTCATTATGGCAGTGCCAAGTGACTCAGTTTAGTCAAGGTAGAAACTCAGAGGAGGTGTGTGAGCGGAGGGTGTTCCTGTGTTTAGTGTCAACGCACGGCAGGAAGCCTCGTGAGGAAGTGTCCACGCACGGCAGGAAGCCTCGTGAGGAATATGTCATCCTTGTTATAGTTCCTCAGTGATCCTGTGTTGTGAAGTTTGCTACCCACTACAGCGTTGAGTTGTGGGGAACACACAACACTGGCCAGAGACTCAGTGTAGGAGGCAGACAGTCAAGGAACACTGCCCGAGTAACGCTGTATCGAAACACTATTCGGAACTTAATAATTGGACTGAATTCCTTCGACTCTACATCTGAGCTGTGTTTATCAGCAGGTAAGATCATAAATTAGTAAGTGTTGTTTGTAAGGATTTTGTAAGAAACACGTCAAAGGGAAATATTTTACAGACGAAGTGGTTCAGCTCGTACGTCATTTCCTGGCGTTTTTCGACCCAACGGAAGATGTTTAACGATGTTTTTTCTCTCATAGTTTGGAAGTTAATCAAGAGAGTAGAGATTTATACTGGTATATGTGTTATAAACTTCGAAGTAAGCGTTAGTAGTAACGTCGGTTAATATTCCGTAGTAGCCAAGCAGGGAACTTTATATTGATCCTTAATTAGTGAGAAAAAAAAATACTTTACTCTCTTGTGTTTCCTCCAGAAATGCTTAGTTTTAGAGTTATTTTCACTTTTCCATTTCACTTAAAGAGAATACTGTACAAGTTGGCGGGAATATATAGTGTTTACTTCTTACTCAGCCAATCAGCGGAAGAGTCCATGTCATGTGACACCTGTGAGCTTGTGCTTACTCGCGTTTTCGTGGGAAATTTATATTTATGATTTTTTTTCTTCTTTTTAATTCCAAGTTTCGTTTCTTGAGCTTCCTCTGTTTTGTTTTGCCTTGTTGGGTTAGGTTAGGTTTATACACGGGGGAAAGGGGTGGATAGAAGGTTAGGTCAGGTCCTTCTCGTTTCTCTGGTTAGGTTAGGCTAGGTTAGGTTATGTTAAATATGTATACTGATACTCGAGAGTAGTTAGGTTTCGTTTTGTCCGATTTTTGCGTGTTTTCCTCCACACAATTTCCTTATACTTTGTGTGATGAAAATTACATTTCTTTAAGTAAAATCGGACATTAAAAGAAAAAACTCGAATGATATAAACTTCTGACGGAGAAACTATAGAGTAAAGTATTTGTATTTTGTATGCTCCATCTCCCTATATAGAAATCAATATAGAGCTCCGTGCCTAGGCGACTCTTACACCAGAGGGAAGAAAGTTGTAAACAAAATGGCCCAGCCTAACCTCGAGTCTCCCCCACCAGGAAAATGAGAAGCTATAAAGACAAATTCATCACATAAGATATTCATAAGTAAAATAGATGGATCAGGGAAGTATTTTTTTAAGACAACAGTGAGTTTAACTTATTCAGGGCAATGAGGATATCATACAGTTTAGATACTGAGCCGACGGTACACAAGTATTCAGCGACTACAAGATAGGTGAGGGTTATGTTTACTGCACCTGATTACAGACTACGTGCTTAAAGACTTCAGGTGTTGACACAAACACTACATAACCCGCTGTTAAAATGTTTTCAACACGGCTCAATATATGAGAAGCTGTATTGTACACAGGTTAATCATTATAAACAATTTTCAGCTGTGAGTCAGGCAGCCACCCATCGGACTGCCTGACTCCTAACCTTGGTGGTTCGGGATCGAATCCCCGCATTCACAGGTGATTTTTTGGTATTGATTTACCTGTGTACAGTACAGGTTCTCATATACTGTATTGACAACACCGCTGTGGCGGGAATTTGATTTAAAAGTTCTCCGGGACCCGTAAGTGGGCGGGCTGCACTGACCCACTGGCCCGCAGTTGTGGGCTTGGGATCTTGAGTTGCAGTGAGTAGTTAAGGATGGCTAGGCTGGCGTGATCCAGAGGATGGCGGCCAGCATTGGTGGTCCAGGTTCGAATCCCAGCACTCACAGGTGAAAATTGTCTACAACCTTCCTCAATTTCCTCAAAATTTTTGTTAGAGATTGGAGTTATGACCTTCAACTTTATTGTTTGTTATTTAAAGTTTATTGTGGAGGAAGGCGTCAGTCCTGTGGGTGTAGACCTTCCACTGAGATACACTTAGTGGTTTACAACATAATACGTAGACGACATCTTGATTCTTTTAACATAAATACAGAACCAAACACCTCGTAACAAGTTCACTTCTCTCTCATAGTGATCCGGTTAGGAGAATACACACACACAGCCACTCACCCTCTGTGGTCGGTGGCAAAGGTGTAGAAGCGTTAGTAGTGGAGGGTGTAGCGGTAGTAGACACATACCCCCGGTAGAAGTTGAAGCTGAGATCTTGTGTACACGGGCTGGTGTTCTTCGTCAGCTGGCAGGTCCTCCCAGTAGGTACTCCAGCCTCCAGACTGAACCCGATACACCCCGACTCTGTAACAGTGTTAGGTTGGGTTGAGAGGAGAGCTGTCTTGGCTCCTGAAACACATGCGTCTCAACATGGGTCACTTAACAAAAGCTTTATATACCAAAAGAGGTGGCAACACGTGATGAACATACAAGTTAATTAGGGTCTGATAATAGTTCAAACTGTGATTGGAGAGGGGCTGGTGTGTGGGTGTGTGTGTGCGTGTGCGTGCGTGCGTGCGTGCGCGCGCGCGCACGAGGAGTCGCTAGCCAGGATGGATGACCCACAAGTCAGTATTAACAAAGGATAAACGCTCGTGTTTCCTTCACAGTAAGTGGACAATGGTGTCACCTAAAGATTACCCAAACCTAACCTAACCTAATTTATCCCAGAGAAACCTAATTTAAGTTAATGTAATCTATCCTAAAGTAAGTTAATATAAGCTACCCTAACCTAACTTGTCTGTGTGGTGTTATTTGTTGGTCTGTGTAGTGAAACTTGTATCTGCGGTGCTATAGAAGACCTTGGCTGCAGAAGGCGGCGCAGGTGGTAAGGGAAGACCCCGTAGTGGTCTTGATGACGGAGCCGCAGCGGTAGTTCTGTTCGGTGCGTCTGTAGCCGTCGGCTGTGAACGCTGCGGAAGACTCAGCCTTGACCATAACCACCAGGAGGAACACGGGCAGCCACTCCCCCACCAGTGTTCCCGGCCGCCTCCCTCTGGTACGGGTGCCTCTTGTCTGCTCTCCCATCCTGCCATAACAAAACAATGTTAATACTAGTCTCATTATAGCGTCAACACACTTCGAGTCGAAAAAATCGTCTTTCGTCATGTATGACGTCATCTGGTCGGCAGCCCGGAGGGGTGGTCCGGGGTGGCAAGGTAGGTAGATACCTACCTTGCGGGGTGGGACCTCAATTACCAGCTGGCCGTCATGGTGTGAAGGTCTGTGGCAATGCCAAATAAATGTTCCATATCTGGATGCATATCAAATTACAGACTAAAGTCTAACTTTCGGCCAGGAAACCGGATGTGGAGAGACAAGTGCCTATTTGTTGCTTAAAACTGTTATATAGCCTTCTCTCCTGTGATGTGTCTAGTGACCATATTGATAAACTGAAAACCTTTACACATATATTCTTGTATTCTCTGATTTACTGTAATAGCCTGGGAGAGAGAATGAGGATAATTATAATCATTAACAATCATTATTATTTTCCTTAACTAGTTTATTTAATTCTTGTATGCCTTCCTCCCTCCCCCCCCCTCCAGTCAATAGCCAGCCCATATGACTATGATTACTTAATGGCTTTTACACTAATACTGGCAGCAAAATCATAAGAGTATAAATAATAACAAATAGAGGAAGAAGAGGATTATTAGTAATAATTATAATATTTTTTTATAATAATAATAATAGGAATATCATAAAAGTAATGATTACATGAGAAGAACAAGTGGCTAACTGAAGGATAGTGTGGTAGGGGGTGAGGAACTGTGGCAGGAATATCTTCTAGTACCCACTGGTGATGATATACGAGTCCTCCTTTTCTACTACGGGCCAATGACGTCACATAATTAGCTCCACCTCCTGCACTTGGGGTGACTTGGTTTAATTAGACTTTGGTTAACACAACACACGTGGTACACTGTTGACGTATCCTGTCCAATACAACAACAACAACAACAATAACTACTACTCTATGTTTGTCTTTGACACCCCCAAAATGTTCTACACTACGGAGGGTATACGCAAACACTTGTTATCTTGAAAATAGGTTCTTATTATCGTACGGGAGATATATACAGAGGAACAAAGAAACTGACTCCCACACCATAAGGACTAGTGATCTGAACTCTCTGTATCACTCCGCTCTGGCATGTACAGATGCCAGCGTTCACAAGCTGAATACATAATATGTAAATATGATAATTCACATACATAACATGGTGCATAATAAATGGAAATATTACGTAGGATTGATACATGTTCTATAATACTTTACTATACATAATTAATAGAGTAATATAAGAATACACAGCTTAAGGTACTACTTCATGTCCATATTATACAACTACTACTACTACAATTATAACTTACTACAACTTTAACCTTTTAATATGGCCATAAACTTTCCTCACACATTTTATAACTTAACTATCCTAATCCAAAAGTATCTTCCCTAGCTGAGTTAGTTGAGCTGCAGATCTATACGGCATTCAGTGACTGTTGCCCTATAGTCATGTCTGCAATTGTTGTTGGCTTAGGTGTTGATGATCTTGTTCCTCTGAGACACAGCAGAGCAGAGAGAATGTTAGGTGACACCTCGACCAGACCGTGGGGTAACTTCTGGGTTTCTGCTTCTGTTCTGATAACACCTCAGCCAGTCTGGCATTGAAGCACTTTACACTTGGTCCCATCCTGCCCGATGTTGCGAACACCAGAGGAGTGAAGCTGCCTTGGTCCACGTTCGGGATTCTCTGTGCATATGTTCTGTTCTTTATGTTCATGTTTCTCCTGTGTTCATCTATGAAAGTCAGGTGACGGTGACTTGCAGCCATGGGATCGAATAAGATTCGTTGTCTCCTCGTCCAGAATCCTCGAACACTGACGTCCACACGGGCTTCATTAGTTGTGTTGGCAGTCCGCTCCCGGTGAGGGAAATGCTCTTCATCCAGTGGGAGGGGGGTCGGTTCCACAGTGACGTCATGGCATATCTCCTTCAAAATGTTTGCTGTGAGGTCCCTTACTTCATCATGCCTCATGCAAACGAAACCTCCCTACTTGCACACCATGGCAGGGTTGATGTCGCAAGATGTTTCACACACACATTGGTCGGGCATACCTTTCACTGGCCAACTCTACCTTAAGGCAATGGTGTCTGTGAATTCTTGTTTATTAAG